CAACTAACATTGGTAAACTGACATCTTCTGCAGTTTATAAAACCAGCCAGTATCCATATAGGCCTAAACCCAAAATTTAAAGTCTCACACACATAGTAGTAGTAGTAGTAAAGAATGTAAAGTAAAGAATGTAGATACATATACACACAGCATATTGTACAGTAATTAATGTACTAATAGAGACATGTGTTGACTTTCAGTGAGGATAAATCTCCACTGGGACACGTGTGTATGGTGTGCAATGCTAATAAGGCAGATCTTACTCAGCAAAGTGACTCAATAGCTGGTATAAATATAGCCAGGTTTGGAGTCTCTTCTATGCCAGGAGAGACTGTATAATAAAATTTGACATGATTTCGGAGATTGAAAAGTTCTTGGCAGAATTTTCCCTTACATGATGTTGGTTTTAGGATTTTGCTCTGATTTGCTGAAAAGCTGCCAGTAGCATCCGAGCCAGTGCTCGGTCACAGGAGTTGGCAGAGTTGTGCCGGTGGCCTTGTGTTGGGGATGTGATGTTGGCCCACATCTCAACTGGGAAAATGTCTGTGAGCAGCTCCATGGAGAGGGCTCCCCAGCCTTGAGCTGTGACCAGAGGTGGGTAGTGCCAGCAGGCAAAGGAAGTGATTGGCACACTTCCTCTTAAAAATCCTGGAAAAGTGTTGATGCACTGCCCCAGACCACTGTGCTGCCACCTTCGTAACCTGCTTCCAGTGCCCCTCATCCTAGCCCAGCCTACTCCTGGTTATTTATTTCACACCGATTAGAAGTGCTACTTGTTGCCAAGGTTTTTTACCCTGTTTTCCTCCTTATTTGCCAGCGACAGCCACACGCTGCTGTTCACAAAGCAGACCGGTGTGATTAAAAGACCGCGGGTACTAAGGTAGCCATGGCAACAGCCTCCTTGGAGGTCTTTGTTGCCTGCTAAAACTTTGATCTCCAAAAGGGGCTGCTGCTGTTTCTCCGTCCAATTGAAGGGAAGGATGGGAAGAAAGGATAAAGTTTACTCCAAGCGGAGGGAGAACAGAGGAACACTGCAGAGCCATGCTCCCCCAGTAAATCTCACAGCAGCTGCCTTGGAAAAGTGTCTGATTTACAAGGGCCACACTTCCTCTCCTATGCTTTCCAGCCTCTCCTCAGGCCAGTGTCCCTTGCCAGGAGCCTCTTGCTGTGGCATGGCTTGGCAAAGTTTTCCACCACTGAGAAGGAAATAATTCCCTCTGTAGTTGCTGCGTCCTGTGATCCCACTGCAGCAGGTTGGGCTGTGGAAGCAGCCCTCAAAAAGGAAAACAGTTCAGCAGTTACTGCCATAGTTACCCAATATTTGTCACATTTATGCGACTGCCAGTATTTGCCATGTTCCCATATTTACCCAATTGCTGTGTTTCTGACTGCACCTGTGCCTACTTTATTCATGCCATCATTTCTTTTCAGCTGCACCACTTACCCTAATTATTTTTGTGTCTCTTCTCTGCAGACTCTCTGCTAATTGTGTGCTTGACTCCAGGTCTTCCCTGCTCCGCTGCTATTTGTTCACTGCTCTGTCGCCTGCCTGCCTCCTGTGTATTAACTCCTGTCCTCGCTGGCCTCTGCTGTGTGTCTGCACCTCTTGGAGCTGCTCTGCATCCCCTCAGCTTTTCCTCTCCCATCCCTCCTCCTGTGCTCTGCCAGAGCAGATGGGGTGCTTGCAAGCTCCGTTGCATTTCAAGGCTGGCAGGGGCCTGGGGCATGTGAGGTGCCTGGTGAGAGGCCACTATGGGCAGGTAAAACCCTTCAGCAGCACGGGGGGAATAGAGATGGCATATATCCCAGATCCTTGCAGAATGAGGACAAGCTCCTAGCTCTGACACAGTCACCCGGGACAACCCTGGGAAACGGGGCCATTGTCTATTCCTTCTATCCCCTCGGTGGTGGGAGCTTGCACAGAGGACACAAAGCTCTTGCGGGGAGGGGGCACGGATCTGTGACTCAGCAGTGGTGCTCAGCCACGGCTTGGAGTGCCTGCAGCCCTTTCTCAGGTGGGCAGAGCTGCTGTGCAGAGGTGGTGTGGCCAGATGGTCTCTTGGCAGGATGTTTTATTGAATTGTTTCTTCCCCACCCATTGCTATCTAGCCCCAGCATCTACTTTAAAACTTCCTTGAAAGAAATGAGAGGGAAAGAGGTGAGCTTAAAGCCCATGAAAGGAGCATCCTAGGCATGGAGAGATGGGTGGATGCTGGCCATGGGTGCTCTGGCTGCCTCCTGCCTTCTCTTACAGCCATGGGTCCAAAAGGATGCCCTGCTCTCTGCTTTGGGCAGTGTGTGACCCACCGGGCTGCTCCCCCAGGATCCTTTCTGTGGCCACTACCTGGTTCTGTGCTGTGCCCATGTTTGGGCCAGGCTTACAGAGGGCAGGAGGTGAAAGCCAGTGGCAGTGCTGCCCCCATCCCCGAGCCACCCTGTCCCTTTGTGCCTGTGCCCACTGGCTGGCAGGACGGGGGGATTTTTGCTCCACTTGTTGCTGGCAGCAGCAGCAGAGGGGAGAAAGTCACCTTCAATGAGGGACAGTGGTGGGAGCCTCCTGTTGCTGGGGCAACCACAGGCAGCCTCAGCCTGTTGGCTTCCCTGAGGAATGGTGTGGGGAAGAGTTAATCAGGGGATTTATCCAGCCTGGGGCAGGGAGGGGGCTGAGCTGTGGAAAGCTGCTGGGGGCAAGGCAGTCCAGGGGTGGGCATTGTGCTCCAGGGCTGCCAGCTGGGCTGGCAGAGTTCAGGCTGAGCTGTGGTGGGATTTGCTGCTCAAAATCCCACCACAGGGATCCTCCCAGGCTTTGTGCATCCCTGCTGGGGGTTCTGGGGCCCCCAGGGCTGTGTAAGTCCCGTTGGCAGGGCAGGAATGCAAATTCCCCAGGCAGATACTCTGCCAAGCCAAGTGAGGCTGCACAAGCAGGGAAGTGCTAGCTGCTCATGGGTAGCACAGAGGAGCTGCTTTGGCTGTCTTTGTTTTTACCAAGTTCTCAGGCACTGTTATATTAAGGGGTGCTTTTTCCCTGTTGGACATGTGATTCCTCTTGGAGATCAGAAAGTACCCAGCACTAGCAGGGTTCGAGGCTCTCCAGGTAGGTTCCAAATAAAGTAGGCACCTATTTGTCAATGACCATTTGAGAAGGAGTTTCTGCTGTTTAAAGGTGTCACTTCCTTGCCTTTTTTACCACAAATAGATGCCCTAAATTAGCTGTGTACCTCCAGCAATTTGTCCAGTGGCATCTGCTCTCACACTAGGGCTGCATGTGAGCTTGTGCAGAGATAATAACACGTGGGAGGTGAGCTACGTGCTCGTGTCTGCCCATATTCTGCATGCATGTAGTTCATGTGGGTGCTGTTCACATATGCTGTTCACAAAAGGCCTGCAAAAGAATTGCATATTGTTTTATCAAAATAAGGAATATAATTAATATGCACGTGCAACATAACACTCCAGTTGTGAGTGGCTTGCACACTTGATCCTTCCAGGAAATGGACTGCAAAGAATATCATGAAACTCTTTGTAAATGTAGATGAAAATGTTGCAGCAGACTGGTGGCAAGAGTCCTCCCTCAAAGTGGTAAATGGGGAGCAGTTATGTGAAGCATCACCATGCTATCTTTTGCTAAGGATTCTGGACCACTTCATCAGGATGGGCGTTCCTGTGAGTAGTAGGCAGCTCTGATGAGTTGCAACTGGCTGCAAAGCACTGCCTGTAGTCATGGTATACTCATTATGGCTGCAGCAGGCTTCCTTGTGGACTTTTGATCTCTACAATCTCTACAGAGTCTCTGCTGAAGCACTGAGGAAAAACGGATGGTGGGAATTTGATTGTAATAACCTTCAAGGACAGACTAGAGGCCGAGGAACTTCGGATCCAGTTCATCACTGTGTCTGAGTGCTGCATAGTGCAGGACCTGGAGGGCATGTGGGCAGGTTAAAGGTAGCTTTCTACCACTTTTGCATTGGCTTACCCTTAGCTGCTCCTGTTGTCATGCCCCCAATGTGTGTCTCTCTTCAGAGTGCAGCTCTCCTACCATATGCATGTCTTTTAAAATCCCAGCATGATCCTGGGGCTCTCTGGGAGAGTTCACAGCACAGCTGCACTTAGGGCTGTTCTGCCAATGCACAGGTGTGTGTAAATTGCAGCTGAGCACTGTGCAGGATGTTTGCTTGTACTGGAAATATCCCAGACGTTCTGTGCCAAAACAAACAGGCAGCAAGCTGCCTTTGGGCTTGGAGTTTGTTTGCTTCTATTTGGTTGTAAATTATAAATCTGAATTTGACTTGCCTTTTTTTTTTTTTTTTTTTTTTTGCAAAATGATCCCAGAAATTTCTACATGAATCCTTCCCTGGCTGGTTTGCTTCCATTGGGTGTTGGCCTTTTGTCACACAGTCTCACCAAGGTGCTTGTGCATCTCCAAATAATTAGCACATATGCACAGCGTTCCTTCAAGGCTCCTTTCCTGGAGTTGTAGGTGCACTCACAGAGCCCCACATGGAGAGCATCATCCACGGGTTTGGGAAGCACGTGGCTGATTTATCAATAGCCTTGAGTTAAGTTAAAGATGTTTCACAGCCGTAGAAACTACATCAGTACGTTTCAAAAATAAACTGTGTCCTTTTGTTTAAGGGCTGTTGTGCATTTCCAGGAGCTTTTGCATGTGTAGAGCATAACTCCAGGAAGATGTTACCATGTAACCATGCTAAAGGGACTCCTTTTTCTTGTCATTTTGTGCCTAGATTGGAGAAGCTCTGTTCCAGATTCTTTCCCCCCAGCTCCGCTGATAAAGATAAAATGCAAGGACACAGAAATGGCAGAAGTGCAGAGGCAGACACCAGGCATCGAGCAGGATGACATCTGTGGTTGATAGGAATTCACATAACGCAGAGTGCAAGTGGGCTGATGAGGAAGGGAGCTGGAGGCTAAGGCAGGGGCTGGGGAGTGTGTTTTTCTTGCAGTAACCTCTCTCTTTCTTCTCCTCCTTCTGTCTTTTCTAGGCAGGACAGGGCTGCTTGCAGATCTCTTGCCCAGTTTTGCTGTGGAGATTATGCCAGGTATTCAGTCATTTCACCCTTAATCATCCATTCCTCTGTCATCTTGTCTGTTTATCCTTCTGCAGCATCTTTATGTGGTGTATGTTTCACTTGTATGTGTGTTTTACCTGGGGATTTAAAGAGAAAAGCCCATCAGTTACTGGGAAAGTGCTGGCTTTGGATCCGAGAGAGCTGATGCTGGGCCATGCTGGGAGCCAGCATACAGAGATGGTTGATGTCATGCCAGGATCAGTGTGAGAGCAGAACTGCCAGGGCTGTTCTGGGGACGTTTTCTGTCAAGCTCTCTGCTCTCCCCCTGCTAGCACAGAGGAAAGTGTGCTTCAGCCTGGGAGACCCTGCAGCCCTGCGTGGCTGTGTGTGTCAGCTGCTCCTGTGCAGTCACTCCGCTCCCCAGACCTGGCCTGTGCCCTGCTCCACCCTCACCACAGATGGTAGCACAGCAGGTGCTGGGAACAGAGCACTGGCTAGCACCCCATCAGTGGCACAGCCCCTCTGGTGCTGCATGGCCAGGCCACGTTCTTGGTAACACCAGGTGGCTGGGCCCGACGTGAGAGCTCCGCGCCCCTGATAAATCCCTTGCTAGCCAAAACTAGCGAGAGCCACCAGTTCTGGCACTCCTTGCAGAGGAGACAGAGGCTGTGCAACAGATTGTTCTTGAAAGGGAAAAGCTGTGAGAATATTTAGCCCTCGAGTCATCTGATCATTCCCTGATGGTGCCCGAAGAGCATTTCTTTCACACGTTTGTGCAAAAATGCAACTCCACATAAATGTGTGAAGCTATTTTCGAGCCTGTCCCAGAGATGCAAACAGAGAGGAAGGCAGACACTCACCCACCACCAGTGTAACCCAAAGCTCCTTAGAATTCCTGCATGGCAGGAGAGGGATTGGTCTTTTCAGCATAGATAGATAACAGTTGATTCTCTATTGCCTAACACTTTTCCTCCCGTTATTTAGAATTTTATTGAATGGGTATAAAATTATGGTGTGTAGGCCAGATATCTTTCTGGTACCCTCACTGCATGCATAGACAAGAAGAAAGTGTAAGATGCAGCAGCAAACCACATTTCAGCTGTTGGTGTTGCCTGAGTAAAGAAAAGCAGATACTTCTGTGAGGACACAGAGCATGTCAGCTTGGTAGTCATTTGAATCTCAGCATTACACAGTTATATTGGGAACTGGTTGAATCCCAGCTTTGTTTTGTTTTAAAGGAAGAGCCAGCAGGCTCTTTTTGCTGTTTTCTTAACCTCATCAGAAAAGGAAATGGTCTAACTTCCTGTGAAGTAAAATCCTGACTCACAGGTCCCTGTGGCTGGGACACTGATTTCAAACATCCACTTTATATGCTGAGTGAGTCTCCTGCAATGTGCAATGTACACACTAATCTGACCCCCTTTTGTACTCCTAGGATGTTTTCAGAGAGACCACAGATACACTTCTAATGGACTTGCTGTCTGTTTTTTCCTCTACCAGGCTTTTGTCCTTTATGGAGTGGTTGTGAACTGTTCACTAATAGCTCTGGAGATCTGACATCTCAGGTTCACTGGATAGCTGTGGCTGGCCACTTGTGTCAAGCAGCACCGTTTCACCTCCTTCTCTGTATCCACGATGGTTGCAGAAAACAAGATGAGAACACAACAAAGAAAAAGCCATTAAGATGTTGCTTAGATTGGCATAGATTAGGAAGTGCAGGACTGGAAAGGATAGTCTGGCTCCCTATCGTGCAATCTCTCCCCAGCACCATGTAATTTCATCTTTCTGTAAGATTAGCAAGTTTAGGAGTGGCCTGAGGTTTGGCCTTTCTCTTTCCCATTGGCCCACTTTCTTTGATGGGCTTCTTTTAGCTTCTCTCTACAGCACTGATCATCTATTTCTGTCCATTTATGTAAGATCTTTAACTATAATACCTGCTTTTCCTGCTGCATTTATCCTCCTACCATATTTACAGGCAGGAGCTACATCTTCCCTCAGCCTTCTGTTTAAGAGAGTAGCTCAGCAGGCTTCAGCTCCCCTGCTGCCAGGCAGGCTCCAGAGTCCCTTCATCGCTCAAATAAATCCCTGCTCTCCACTGGCTCCGGCCTAAATTATTATTTTCTGCTGCACAGATGACCAGGGCTGTATAACATCAGTAACTTCAGATGAAGTCAAGTGCAGAGGAGGCCTTGTGTGATGGCATTGATATTTTTTTAATACTGCTGGAAATTCTTCCCTTATTTGGCCTAGGATTACATGTGCCATTTTTGGTGGCTGTATTGTGTGAGTGGTGACAGTAATGCTGTGTATACTTGATCATTTCTCTTGTGTTCAGTTCTTCTCAACCAGTGAAGTCCTGTTCAGAACAGTTATTGTTCTTATTTTTGAACCTGTGACACTGAAAGTATTGCTGCATACTTTGAAATTCAGGATAATACTGCATTTCACATTTCCTATTTTAGCCCCAAGGACAACTGGCCCTTTGTATAACTTGTCCCAGCCTTTACTGACAATGCATCCCTACTGCTTACTGTCATGATATTTTAGCACATTCTTATTTTCTGTGTCAAGGTAAAAGATGAAAATTTTAAGCAAAACAGCTGCTAGAAGCAGAACTTGAGGGACTGGGTCAGTAATCTCTCAGCTCTTGCTTTCCCATTCATGAATGCTTCCCTTCTGCCCTTTCCTTACTTGTCAGCTAAATTTTTCTCAGCATATAGTAAGTTCAACCCCAACATATTATTCCACAGGAACCAAAATTAAATGCAAATTTAAATGAAATTCATGTGTGTCAGCCAAAAAAGAAATAAAGGATTAAAAAAAAAAAACAAACCTCACTTCACACTTCTGAAGTGTTGATTTGTAGATGCCAGATCTTTGACTGACATTTCTCAAAGGAAATTTTAAATTCTAGATTTAAAATGGTATTTTTAAAAAGGGGAATTGTTTGTAAAAGAGTTAAGGAAAACTCCAGCAAAGTAAAGAATCATATGTCTGTTCAAACAGAACGGTGTGGATGGATCAAAAATGACACTTCTTATTTTTGCATTGTATTAAGAACTAGGGAAAAATTCTATTTTGAATGGTCCAAGTGAAACATTTTTCCTTGACTTTTTAGCTTAGCAACACAGGTGAGGGGTGCACTGTTTTTCCAGTGTGATTCTTCATGCACATTGCAATCTTTGTGTCAATACTTCTTCATCTCAAATAATAGTATACCAGGAGACTCTTTAGTGAATGCTGGACTTCTGCTTGGAAATACTGGTCTGCTGCTTTCTGTTTTCCTCTGAAGTGGGGATAAACTCTTTCCCACTGCAGCCCCACCATGTCTTGATTTGCTTTTTGCCATGTTTCCTAGGTGGTTGAATAACCACCAAGTCTTTTCCCCACCTGCAGTCTTGCTTTGAGATAGGTTGGTGCATTTCTCTGACTTAAAACCAACTCCAGGCCTCCTGTATGTTCAGAGTCTTGTAATTTCTTGGTCCAGATGGGTTCACTGTTCATTCCCTTAGTCTGTGGAACTCCTATGTGGCAGTAGGTGCTGCCCTGGCTCAGGCTGAGCCCTGCTCTCACCACATTTTCCAGCAGCAAAGTTTGAGAAACCTTTTCTCCCTGCCCTTCCCCTTTAAGCCCCATCCTGGTTTTTGTGGGCCAGCTCTTGCCTGCTTTCTTCACTTGTAGGGTGTTTTTCAGCTGCTCTCTTTTGGGGCCTGGCACACATCATCTGAGGCTTCAATGGGGGAGGGGAAAAGTGGTTGTTAGGTTTCCTGGCTGGCGGTGCCGCCTGAATGGGATGTTCATTCGGCACATTCAAAAGAATAATTGCGCGCGTAGGCCTCGCTGCGAAGGGGCAGGCCTGGCTCGTTCACTGGGCTATTTATAGCCTGCTTTTCACCATCTCTTGTCCCATTAAAACCAGAATGTGGCTGGGGAACAAACACGTAAGCAGGGCATGAACATGGCCAAGAAGAATGAGTCTTTGATGAGGGCCAAACGCTAATGGAGCACGTCCTGCGGCATTGGTGCGGGTCTGTTGTGGGGCGAAGGGTTTCTGGCCGGGGAGCCAGGGCTCCTGCCTCTGTGCTGCTCACCTCTCAGCCTGCCAGAGATGCTGCCAGAAGGGACCACATTTTGATGGCTCATTTCTCACCGTCATGTGCCATTTCTGCTCTGACACAAGAGGAGGAGTAGACCTCATCCTAGACACACAGGGAGTCAGTCCACTTCTGTTATTCACCTGTGTGTTTTGTCCCCGTGCTCTCCGCTGGGAGGATGTTGCTGACGTTCTCTTCCACAGCAATGTGCAGTCCTGTAAGTATCTCCCTTTCTCCCCTTGTTTTCCAGAGTGGGTCTTTGTGGGCCTGGTGATCCTGGGGGCGTTCCTGTTCTTCCTCCTGGTGGGGATCTGTTGGTGCCAGTGCTGCCCACACAGCTGCTGCTGTTACGTCCGCTGTCCCTGCTGTCCTGAGTCCTGCTGCTGTCCCCGGGCGCGTGAGTGACCCTGTCCAGGCCTGGTGCAAATCTGTCCTACTACGTCTGTTCCCTGGCAGAACAGGAGGAGAATCTGCTAATATTGTTCCTTTCCTTTGCCCTGAGCACTTCGCTTGGCTAAGGAACTGGTTCTTAGGGAGTGAAGCATCTGACCTATTACTCAATGGTTGAATGCTCAAAGTTAATTACAAATGTAATTCCCCAAGCCCTCCCTGCCTTGGCAGCTCTGCCTGCTTTTCCAAAGTGTCATGTTCCCATTCCAGAGTTGTTGTTGTGTCGGTGAATGTTGCGGGTCAGAGCTAAGAGCATCCTGGGAGGTTTCTTCCTGGCAATGCAAATCAGCTGTCCTCTACAACAGTGCAAAATCCTTGCAACCCAGCAAGGTTCCTGGTCAGGCTCAGTCAGATCTGTCAAGTTCCATGAGCCTCATCCTGCTGCTTGAGTCACCAGTTATTTTTAAAGCTGAACTGCCACTAAATCATGGCAGTGATAATGCTGGCTGTAACACCCTGAGTGTCTTTCTGGGCATCTCTGTGTCATTGTTATTACATGCCCTATTATTATATGCAGCACATATTTTAAACTCCCCTCAGTACCCTTTGAGGCTCAGAGAAATTCAGGTTGGTGCTTGTTAATTCATTTGTCTGATTGTCTCCCGTGGGGTTGGTGGTGCAGATTTTGTCCATGTGTCCAGTGGGTCTGGGGGGGCTGGTGTGTGATGCTGACTCTTGTTTTTTTTTTTCTTTTTCAGTGTATATAGCAGGCAAAGCAGCAAAAGCTGGGTACCCTCCTGCAGTCTCTGCCATGCCAGGTCCATACTACATCCCCAGTGTTCCTGTAGCTGGTGTCCCATCTCCTGCTGTGCTGATGGATAAGTCACACCCCCCTCCCTTAGCCCCAAGTGAAGCCAGTGGAGGAAGCCAAAATGGTAATTTGCAGTGCCAGGCACAACATTCAGTCCTCTTACTGGGAGAAGGGCTGGGAAGGGGAGGAGTGATTGTCACTGATGGAGTGGTGTGAAGAGAAGAAACACAGGGAAACTGCATTTAAATCCTCTCTCTGACTATGACATTTGCGTTAGGGCCACATGCTCTTAACTTTTCTAGGGCCATTAAAACAGAGTCAGTTTGTGGGTGCCTAATTAGGTCAGCAGGGAATGGGAGGCCAGGTTCCTGTACAGGACTCCTCTCATTACTGCTGCAGACGTTCACTTGCAGAGGACAAAAGGATGAAGATGATTTCAGGAGAGCAGAGGCAGGAGCCATTTTCCCCTTAGAGCTAATGCCTTGCAAGCTGCTTTCTCCTTGTCCTTCCAACCCTCTGTAGGGCACTGCTTGGACTCTGGCAGCAGGTGTTTCTGCAGCCAGATGTTTTACTTTCCCCATGGCATTTTGGGCAAAGTAACCTATTCCCTTGGTATTTCTGCCCAAGATCTTTTGGGGCTGGACCCTGTCCTCTACTTTACAGAAGTCAGTAGGTCAATTTTTTTATTCAGCCTTTGCATTTGTGAAATGTGAATGATGAAAAGCTTCTGACTAGAAAGGAGTTGTGGATCAGTGTCACACCTAGAGCCCCAGTGTGATGCCTCTTGTCTCAGGGAGGGTCACTTTGCTGCTGCAAAGGAAGCTGCCATCAAGGAGAAAAGATGGCAGCTATTTAGCCACATGGATTTCAGAATCAGAGTGGCTGTCTAAATTCAAACATTCTGCAGCAGAAATGACTGTCACCAATGCAGAGTCATCACTGACCCAGCTACATTCTGATTTCAAAGCACCACACTAAATATCAGTTGTTAAATTAACTCACAACAGTGTGTTGATAAAACACATCTGAAAAGACAAGATTAAGTAGCATAATTAATTAAGCTTTTGGAACAAACCTATGCATGCTTCTGCTGCCCTAGTCAGTACATTAACCTTTCTGGAATTACAAAAAGTATTTTCTTTCAACAATCATACTTTTTTTTGGTCACTGAAATCAAAACAGTGCTCTGGAATGGAGCATTTTGAAATAGGAAATACATCAATCACTGATCCAACGCAGAATGTATCCAATCCAAAAACCTTTGTCAGAAAATGATGAATGACACCCCAGTGCTTCAGTTTTTTTCTCCTGTGAAAAATGTCACTGCACATAGAGCGTGGTGTTGGTTGTGGGAACTCCAGGGATTTTTAAAGAGTCAGATCACAGCTCCCAGTCTTGTCTCTGCTAGCAGAGCACAGGTTCAGAATAAAAAACAGCGGATACTTTTGGCAGCCAAATGGAATGGCTCTTAGGATCCCATGATCCTTACACAGAAGGATGCATTTAATAGACAATGCAGCCAAATCAGGTGTCTGGACTCAATCCCTCTTCTCAGGACTTGACAGGAAATAGTATATATGGCAAACAAAAACATTATCACAGAGCTTTAACCTTTGTGGCAAGACAACAGAGATTCTTAAGCTATTTTAAAAATTAATCTTTTTTGCAATAATGCGGACAAACCCTTAGTCTGGATCATGGATCTGTTATTCAAGGTAATTGAACTGTGAAGCTAAGGGAGAGTTATAGCCTGTACTCTGTTCTTTTAAGGTCCTCCACAATGCCAGAATATCCCCTAATGACAGGCTGTAGAAGAGAAAACATTGTGTGGCTTTTCCAAGCTACTTATTTGCTTGTTGGCCAGGCAGCAAGCTAAACAAAACAGGTAATGGTTGAGTTTATAATAAAAGCTTTTGTCAGAAGGAGAATAAAAAGCCTCTGTGTCCTCCACACAGCTGGTGTAGGTCTGATCTGAAACCGTGTATCTTTGGGACTTCCACCTTTCTGTGAAATCCATTTAAAAAAAATGGGATCGGAAGTGCTGGGGGAGAGAGACTGGAAGATTCTGTAATTCTGGCTTACATTTTGCCCTAGATAGATTCTGTGCTTATAATTGACCCCTCTGAGGGGATCTAGTGAGAAAACCGAGGTGTGAGGATATTTAAAAAATTTGTCTGGGGTTACATAAAAGCCATGTGGCAAAGCTTACATTAAGCCTAGGAATTCTATTCTAAACTTAGGGCTGAATGGAGAAAAAAAACCTCCCAAAACATTTAGCTCTCTTATTTAGCAGAGTGTTGACAACACATAAGTTAGGATTTATGCTCTGTTTTAAATGCAGTGGTTACCTAGAGGCTCTTGCATAAATCCTTTGAAGTCTGCACACAGGGAAGCTTTGGTCCTAGATCTTAAACGTGAAAAGGGTATAAGGATGAGACATCATTTACTTCCTAAACATACTTGTCTGAAAAAAAATAGCAGTGCTGTCCTTTCTGGAGAGGGAGACAGCTTACAGTTTTGGCTGAGTTGGTTCCACCCACAGAAGAATAAAAATAGTGTCCAGTTAAATACAAATTAAACATTAGAAATTTATTAACTGTTCAAGAGAAGAAAATATGGGAAGAATGTTCCATTCCCTTTGACTTCAGCGAGTGGTTCTGGACATGTGGTCAACATCTCTGCATCTTTATTTCTTTATAATTAGAATAGGCTTAGAATTATTCAGACCTGATTAAAGGATTATGGCAATTTACAGATGAAGAGTGTGAGGAAGAAACAATAATATCTTTGGTTCCCAGCTGAAGGAATAATGAAGAGATTTAATAAGTTGAACGTTTAGTATCATTATGAGAAGTATTTGATAAACAAACATAGAGACAAAACTGCTTCCTCTGTAGTGGAAAATACTTTTTATGAGCAGTTCACAGTCATCTTTGCAGATTTAAATCCAAAATTAATTTCTAGATGCTTGCAGAATTAACCAAGAAATTAATTTGCCTTTTGATACAAGCTGCAGCAGCAAGCTTAGTATGAACCTAGCATGAAGCTTGGCTAATTCTCCATCAGTTCCAGGAGCTATAGAGGTTGCCCAAAGAGATGTTTGGTACAGCCTCAGTGTGAGCAGTAGCTCACACTGGAAGAGCCTGGAGGCTGCCTGTTCAAATTCCCCAAAGGTTATGAGTAGGTCAGAGTGGTTTGCTGGCCTGTGTATAAATGAGGTGGCAGCTTAGCTGAGCTAAGTCCACACATTAGAAGAAAGAATAGTGAGAGGCCTCTTTCCTGGCACGGTACCAGACAGAAGTGAGCTACCAGCCACGATGGTAGAGATGGTGGAGAACTGCCCTTGCTGCTCATGCAGTGTGGCCAGAGCTGTCACTTCTGAGGCCAGTGAGTGCAGCCTCATTTGAGGAGACCTGCTGTGCTTCCACTTTGGGAGGCAGAGGCAGGATTCCTTGTGTTCTCTAAAACCACTGTCTGCATTTCCAGCCACTGTGCACTCACTCACTCACTCACTCACTCACTCACTCACTCACTCACAGGGATAATAAAGCACACACTGCTGTCAGCTGAGCTGTCTGGAGGCAAGTTAAAAGAAGGACCCTGGTAGACCTCTATTTTTACTATATTTTTACATCCTACACCATTCCCTAGTGCAGACACACAAGATGTAATCACTTATCTTACAGGTGCCCAGTCCAAACCCACAGTAAAGCACTTTGCTTTTGAAGTCTGCCCATGGCACAGGCATTCCTGAAGCACAGCATGGTTATTTCCTAGTGCACAGAGACACATGCACAGCAGTTTAGGACAGGAGGTGCCTAAGAATACTTCTGCCAAGTCCTTGCTCAGCCCACACAGCACATACTATGCGACGTACTACCGAATCCATATGTTAATAGCTCGATGTGTTGCGGTGGTGAGGGATAAAACAGAAGGAACAGGTTGGCTCAGAACCACTGTCCAAGTGTTTAAATTGTTCCCCAGCAGGAGCATTCATGCAACACTGCAGTATTCCCACAAGGGAACATGTTAACCCCATGCAAGGCAGACAGGTTCCATGTTGTAGTGCTAAGTGAATTGTCCTTACGATGGTTCTCTAATAAGGCTGAATTTTAGGGTTGTAGTCCTCTCTTGTACCTGAATTTCTGTCAGTCCTGAAATAGCTCCAGGCTGACACCTTTCTTAAATAATCTGCTATAAAAACCTTATTTTCCTCAAAGAAAGAGTGCAAAGGTGGAGTTCTCTGCTTGCTGATCATAGGCCTGCCTTAAGGTAGTCAGGTTGTTTGTAGCTATAGTTAGTAGGTAAAGTGTGCATGGAGCTTACCTGCCAGAGTTAAATCTGCTTTGGCTCCAGGTGTATAGGGCCTTCTTTTTTACACATAGTTACATGGACAAGTCAAAAAGCTGTCCAGACTTCCCAGAAGTCAAGCATTTCATGTATGTCTAAGATATATACCTTTTCTGTGAAGTAAAGCTTGTAAAAATCCCAGAGCAGTTTCACAGCTGCCAGTGACCTGGTTGGCCTCACCCCTGGAGTCAGTATAAATCTCAAAGTAGTGTGGTGTGCTTTGTGGGACGTAGTGTTTCCTTCTGTATTCTCTGGATCTTCTGGCACACAGTCTTCAACCTGTGTGAGGAGAATTCATGGGGGCGGGAGGGTGGAGTGGTCTTGCACAGTGACAGCTCCCAAATGCTCAGCCACCTGCTTCTCCTGCAGACTGGGAGCTTAGAGGAAGCCTGATCTTCTGGGACTGCTTCTCTCATACCATGACGAATCCTTTCAGTAGTGCTGAGGAAGGAGAAATGAGTTCTGCTTTTCTCTCTGCCATCATCTGTGGGAGTTGGAATCACTCTGGCAATGAGGGGGTTGCTTTTGTTTTAACTGGGCAAAGCAAGCCAACTCCAGAGCGAGCCCGTCTCACAGGAGGGAGGGTGAGGTGCTGTGAGGATGTCCCACCATGCTCAGTGTCCATCACTGGATTCACTGTACAAACTGGGCATTTCCAAACCATTTTTTCTTTTCCTGCAAACTTTTAAAATGATGCAAGTTCTTACAACTTCACATCCCACACTGTAGACGAATTTCTCGTGAAGCAGCGACTGACTCAGTGTGTTTTGACGCAGCCTACCTGCCTGCAGACGTGAGCTCAACTATGGAATAAGCAGTGTTGTGGCAAAGGCTCCTTGTTCTTACGTGGGTTTTCTTCTAATGTTTTCTTTTTCTCTCCCTAGCAGTGCGCAAAGGGTACAGGATTCAGGCTGACAAGGACAGAGACTCCATGAAGGTGCTGTACTATGTCGAGAAAGAACTGGCTCAGTTTGACCCGGCTAGGAGGATGCGAGAACGATGTGAGAAACAAGCATGGTTTGATTTTTTTTTTTTCCCACTGACCTAAGCAAGACTGGGAAATTCATAGTTAAAAGTTCACTTGGTTTGTCTCGGGGTCAGCTCCTAGGATATGATATCCAGGATAAGCTAATTGGGACAGATAAAGTCTAGATTTTAGGTATCTACAGGTATGTTCTGATTTTAAAAGTCTGGTGCTTACCTAATCATTGTTATAGCAAAGTAAGGGATACTGAAAAGCTTATGAAAATTGTCCACTCATAACTAAACTTTGGGATCATCAGCATCTGAAAAGCCAAGTCCCTATTCATACCTTCTACAACCTGTGCTGTAATAATAGCTGGGATATTGTTTTCACAATTTCCTAAGAGTGTGGTGTCTGTAGATTCCCAGCATGGCAAAACAGGAGAGGGATGATTTTATTGAAAGTGTCTTTTGTGGGCTGCAGTGACCACAGTGTGGCTTGAAGGAAGCAGGAAGTTTGTTTGGAGTGGCTGTTGCCCTGCAGAAGGAGCAGGGTGCTGAATAGGCCCATGGTGCAAACTCAGAACTGAGCTTCTGCAAGGAACTTCTCACTGTCTTCCCAAAGCCTCTTGAAAGCTTTATGTCCTTAAATAATGGCTGAGACTGCACTTAATGTGTGTCAGAATACAAACCCAAGTGAGGATCTTTCCACATGAGGAGGCAGAGGTGCAGAATGGGACAAGGTGTGTGGGGAGGGCTGGCAGTGCTGCTCCTTGTCCTGCGGCTGCTGTGTGCAGAGGACAGTGGCAAGCTGGGGGCTCAGTTCCTGTGGGCAGCACGCAGAGCTAACCCATGTTAGGCACTGCTAGAGGCTCACTTAAAACAGACGTGTGGGATCCTGAAAATCATGAAGGGAAGGGCTTTAAGGAATGACACTACATCAAAGCTCCGTACAGATTAGGCATAACGAACAAATTATATATACTTCTAAAACAGTCATTGCTGAGCACACTGTCTTCTCCACCCACAAGATTTACTATAAAAAGACTCTGCAGATTGGTATGTCAGGCCTACAGATGTCAGTGTGCTTGATGGGGTAGAGACTGACAGTGATTCAGACAGACTTTTACTTTTTCCTTAATCTTTTTTTTGAGGGGGTTGCCTTTGTTTTAGCTAGGCAAGTCAGGCCAAATCCAGAGCCAGCCTGTCTCACACCAGGAAAAGGGGAGGTGGCACAACTTCTGTGCTGTAGTGGTATCCCACCAAGCTTGGTGGCAGGGAGCTCACAGGTGGAAAGCTGTTCCTGAGCTCTTCCTGTCAATTATCTGGAACAGAGTCATCTCACGCCGTTTGCGATGCCCCCAGAATCCCCGCCTGGCTGCCATCAGGCGATGCCCATCTCATTTCTTTCCTGCATCCTCCCCTGCAGATAACAACACCGTGTCTGAGCTGAGCTCGCTGCACGAGGAGGACCTGAACTTCCGCCAGCCCTACCGGCAGGCGCGGAGGAAACCTCTGCCCCCCGCGGGGGACATGGACGGCGACGCCGAGTACTGGGCAGGGGTGGTGGGCGGCGGCAGCACCTCCAGGTCACAGGCTGTGTCTGACTACAGGGACGAGCGGGACAGCTACTGGCACAGGTGAGGGGCACCGCGTCAGGGGGCAGCTCTATCTGGCAAAGTGGTAAAGAAAGCAGAAGGGACAGATGGGCTGGTAGTTCTCCCCTGTTTCCTGCTGCCCTTGCTCTGCTTAGCAGGAGAGAGGGGCTAGAGAGAAATAGGAAATCTGGACATGTGAGGTCAGAATGAAGCTGATTGCCATAATGTGATTGCAACCTGCACTTGTGCTCAGCAAGCAGATCTGTAAAAATAATATATTCCTCTTGATATTAGGAGTCATAATACTTTTTTCTTCCTGAAGTAGATACTTGTTCTTATTTCTGCCCCTTCTGAGTATTGCAGAGCCACATCCATTAAGGAACAGTGAGCCTGCTGAAGGTTACCTAGCTGGGTAAAGCTAGGTACAAGCCCCAGTCCCAGTGGGAAGAAAAAGTGAGATCAGTAGGGAAACAAGCCACCCTTCCCATAGTGGGAAAGTGCAAATCTCTCTCTCTTGAGCTTTGTACCTGATGCCTCCAGCACTTCCCAGTGCTGGTGTGCTTTATTATATAGGAGTCACACCTTCCTGCTTTGGTGAAGCTACACTGGTGCTCCAGGCCTGAAGGACTCGCTATTCTGGTGCCTAGAAGAGAGTTAGCACAGCCTTCCCTCAAGCAGCCCAGTATTCCAAAAGCAATGGCAGGGATTTCCTTCCTTCAGTACTGGGCTATTGTACCAGCTCACTGTCTTTAAACCTGCTTCAAAACTGCCCTGCTGTGAGCTTCTATAGCTGGGCTCTTGGGTTTTTCCAGCAGGATATACACCTACAAGCTCTAGGATGAAGGAGAAGCAGGTCCAGCCCTGCATATTGGAGGACAGGGCAGGTGCACCCTGGGGCTAACCTCAGGTAACATTAGACATGAAGAACCTGAGCTATCTGCACTAAGCTGCCTTTACAGTCATCAGAGAGAACCCGGGGTTTCAAGGATGTGATAGATTCTCTTCCTATGGAAGACGATGAAAACAGTTGAGATGATTCATGCCCCCAGGAGGGCCTGTTTCCCTCCATTGTCTGTGCCGGCAGCCGGGGGGATGAGTGCAGCTGGATCCCGCCCTCTAACTCTACCTCCTCCCTCTTCCAGCCAGCAGAGATCCAAGTCGGAGATGCTGTCCCGTAAGAGTTTCTCCGTGGGAGTGCCGGCCGTGTCCATGGACGAGCTGGCGGCCTTTGCCGAGTCCTACAGCCAGCGGCCGCGGCGGGCGGACAGCCAGGAGATGCGGCGCTTCGAGCGCTCCGAGTCGCACGGCGGGCGCGGCGGGGGGCTGCCCCACCAGGACAGCTCCATGGAGGAATACTACACCAAGCGCTGCAGGGGCAATCGGGAGCCGCTGACGGACTCGGATCGGGGCTGGTCCTACAGCCCGCCCCGGAGACGGGCCCACGAGGAGAAGCACCTTCCCAGGCTGGTGAGCCGGACGCCCGGAGGGAGCCAGAAATACGATCACTCCTACCTCAGCAGCGTCCTGGAGAGGAAATCCCGGAGCTATGACGAGAGTGGTGACCATTGTGCCACCCCCTCGAAGCTGAGCTCGCAGCCCAGCCAGAGAGGAGGGAGCACATACTATGCCTGGTCACCGCCCTCCACCTACAAAGCCGAGAAGTCGCAGCCGCCGCCGCAGCAGTCGTCGTCCCCCGAGCAGGACGAGGAGGAGGAGGACAGCCTGCCCCCCTACAGCGAGAGGGAGCTGAGCCGAGGCCCTTCCTACAGGGCCAGGGAACAGGCCTACCTCAATGCCTCTGACAAGAAGAGGAAAAAGGACCCCAAGAAAACAGTGAGGCCATGTCTGGTGGTCCTGGTCCAAATAGGCTGAGCGGAGAGCCACCAGGCAGGGGTTACTAACCAGAGTTGATGGGCAAGGGGGTTTTCCAAGAGGGTGATACCTGGAGTCCAGGTGTCACTCCCTGTGGGAAGGGGGGAAGGAACTGGGGGGGTAGGAAGCCAGAAAGGGTAATAGCTCCTACACAGGAGTCCATGATGGAGGGGAAAGCCAGATGTGCCTGGGACTGGGGAGGTAAGGGATGTCTTTAGCATCTGTGGCCTGGTAATCCAAGGCAGAGGGAGTTTATCTGAGGTTCAGGAGGATTGTGGTAGGGAAGTTACCAGGCCTTACTGAAATTACAGGGCTTTGGCCTTGATCCTTGTTGAGGAAGGGTTGAAAGGCTCTTGTTCCTCTGGACTGGGACAGGGCTGCTAGCAGGGGATGATGTAAGAGACAACTTTCTGAAAGGGGTGAGATCACAGACTCCCATGGGTGCATGGGCCCATGGGGTCCCGTGGGAGCCATTCATGCCAAAGGCATTCCTCACCCAGGATACCAGCAAGTACAAAACATCCTGCCACAGCCCAAGCTGGTGAGGACTGATAAGTTCATGGTTGCTGGGGAGGGGATCTTTCCCATCTAACCCAGCTGGGGAAATCTGCACCATGAGGGAGACCTTACCATTAGAGTAACTTGGCTGTGGGAGAGAGGACTGCATTGTGAGTGGGCAAAGCTCTTGCTGTTTAGTTGTGTCTCTGTCAAAGCTTTGTCTGTCCCTCTGTTCAATGAGAGATTTCCTGTTGACAATCTTCTCTCTTTCCTCTCAGAATGATTTCCCAACAAGGATGTCCCTTGTGGTTTGAAGTTGTTGTGGACCTGTCATGTTGATGGGCTGGATATCATGAGGTGACTGCAGTGGAGAAGATGCAGAGCAACAAGCAAGACATGCCTCTGTGAACCTTTGCAGCCATCAGCCATGGACTGTTTCAATTTTTTGTTTCATCCAGGGGAGCTGAGGCTTTTGTAAGAGACAGACTCCCATGGACAGCACTCGACCTCAGAGGCTCTGGGAGTCTGCCAGGAAAATGAGGCTAGGGCTCTCTTTGGCACCCTGTTTTCCAGTGCCCTCCATTCTGCTCTGGATGGCAGCCACGTCCCTACTGCCTCTGCAGTCCTCCCTGCAGCCCTGAACTCCAAGTGAGGCTGCCTTTGTGCCTCTTGCCCTGTCCCATGTGCAGAGGGAGGCATGTGTACCTCCTTGCTCTCTCTGTCTCCTCAGTTCTCTGTTTGGATCAAAATTGTCTCCATACTTAAAGCCTTTTCTGTATCACCCCTGTGCTGGGAGGAGGCCTCGTTCTTACAACTGCAGACTGCCTCCAGCTGATCAGGCCCTAAATCACGAAAGAAAATCCACATCCTTTCAGACACTGTAAGAAAATGACTGATGAGATGTTACCTTGATAAGGGCTGAATGGGGAAAGAGACAATTATGGGCTGGTTTGTTCAATATATTTAGTTCTGTTCGTTGTGTGATGAGAGTTGCAGGTGAGATTGATGTATTGCTCTGAAAGTGGGTCAAAGTAGCTTTTATTGTGATGAGAGCATGATTTGTTTCCCCCCTGCCCCCCACTGTGTTCTGTTTTGATGCTGTTGCATTTCCTTGCAGCTCAGCTGTGAGCCTGTAGAGCTTCAAGCTGGAATACCTACTCCACTGTTTTAAAAGCAGTGCTCTAGCCTTCCTAGTGCTCTGCTTCCAGCACCACCAGACACTTCTGCCACTCTAGTGAGTGGCCTTTTTGTTCCAAGGATGCAAAAAGGAGACAGTCTCAATGAGAAGGCAGCTGCAGACCTTCATCCTGTGCCACTGGTATCACTCCTTTCTGGGAACAGTTTCCCAGAAGAAACTACTACTGAAGAGACCAATAACAACAGTGGGAAAAGAACAAGCACTGTGGATGGATACAAGCTTTGAAAGTCACCCTTTTCACTTAAAACCATTCCATTCACTTTGGATGGGATGTGGTTTTAGTGGCTGTTGTCTCAGGAATAGCTTTATTTAGAAGTGAGTGCTTCACACCATTTGGAAGCCTGACATTCTGGTTTTCATAGGGTATTATGCAGTCATTTATTTAGCTGCTAAAATCATCATGTGAGGGAAGATGATGGGAACATTTTAAGGTCCAGTATCTTGATCCCTATTACACCTAGAAACAACTTAGTGCCCTGTTGTGTTATGGACATTATCAGCCTCTGAAATGACATCTTTGTTGTTCCTCTGGGAATTTGGGAAGCTAGCTGGCCTCAGATGCTCATACTGGCAGTACTGTTTGGAACACAATGGATATTAACATCACTGCAGTTCTCCATAAAAATGATAGATTAATTTCTGTGTTACTCTTCTGCCAGATAGTTTACTCACCAGGAATGGTCAGGGGAGAGGAAGAATAATCTCCATAGATTTGATGACAGTTTTCATGTGAGAAGGTGAGTTGATGAAAGGATGATGTTCTTTTCCCACACTCCTCTAGTGATGACTGTAGTTTTGGAAATCCCAGTCCTGGGTCTTCCTGGCCAGAGAGAGATTAGCCAGCAGGAAAATACAGTTGTGGAATTGTAGAATTGTTTGTGCAGGAGCTAGCCTTTCAAGATTTCAAGATTTAAAGTTTCAATCCTCTGCCATGGGAAGGGACATCTTCCACATATGAGGTTGCTCAAAGCCCTGTCCAACTGGACCTTCAACACTTCCAGGGATGGGACATTTACAGCTTCTCTGGGCAACCTGTTCCAGTGTCTCATCACCCTCAGAGTAAAGAATTTCTTCCTTGTATCTAATCTAAAATTACCCTCTTTTACTCGAAAATCAGTGCCCTGGTAAAAAGTCAATCTACATCTTTCTTGTAGTCCCTTTAGGCATGGAAAGGCTCTATGGTCTCCTCAGAGCCTCCTCTTCTCCAGGCTTAACAGCCTCAGTTCTCCCAGCCTGTCTTTATAGAAGTATTCCAGCCTCTTTGACCATTTTTGTCTCCCTCCTCTGGACCTGCTCTAACAGCTCCATGTCTTTGTGTGGGTGGCCCCAGAGCTGAACACAGTACTCTGTGTGGGGTCTCAAGAGAATGGAGTAGAGGGAAATTCCACTCCTTGGCCTGCTGGTCACTCACCTGATGCAGCCCAGGATATGGTTGGCTTTCTGGGCTGCGAGAGCTCGTGGCTGGCTCAAGTCCCATCTTCATCCACCACTATAAAGTCATAGAATTGTAGAATGGTTTGGAAGAGACCTTAAAGATCATCTAGTTCCCCAAGTCCTTCTCAGGGCTGCCAGTCCATTCTTCCCCCAGCGTGTACCAGTACCAGGGGTTGCCTTGACTCAGGTACAGCCCCCCACACTTGGCTGTGTTGAACTTCATGAGGTTCTCGTGAGCCTGCTCCTCAAGCCTGTCCCAGGGTCACTCTGGATGGCATCCCTGGCATCATTCAGCTTGCTGCCACACACAGACTGCTGAGAGGGCACTCAGTCTGTGCCATTAATGAAGGCTGAACAGTGTCAGCCTCGGTGCAGACCCTTGAGGGACTCCACTTGTAACTGATGTCCTTTTGGACACTGAGCCATTGACTGATGCTCTGGATGTGGCCATCCAGCCAATTCCCTGTGCATCCATCAAACCCATCTCTCTCCAGTTTAGAAATTAAATTTTGTGTGGGACTTTGTCAAAGGCCAGAAGTCAAGGTGCATGATATCAGATGGATTTTCCTTATCCATCAGTGCAGTCACCCTGTCATAGAAGGTCTCCAAGTAAGCAGGTGTGATTTGTCCTTGGTGAAGCCGTGCCAGATGTCTTAAATCACTTCTCTCCCATCCATATGCCTTGAGATGGCTTCCAGGAGGATCTTTCAGGGCACAGAGGTGAGGCTGATTGGTCAGGAGTTCCCAGGGCCCTGTTCTTCTATCCTTTTAAAACAGGTCTGATGTTTCCCTTTAACAGTCACTGGGGACCTGACTGCCTGAGTGTCATGACTTTTCAAACAGGGAGAGCAACTTAGCAACTGCATTTACCATCTATCTGTATTATGGCTGGAGAGACTTAACATTTTACGTATTTTCATCTTTTTTTTTTTTTTTTACCATTAATTGTGTGTTCTTAGGAAAATCACAGCACAGTTAGCAAGAGGTGGGCAGGTGTTTGCCATCTGAGGTCTCTCAGGCCTTGGGAAGTCTACAGAGCTACACTGCATGCTGGTTTAAATCAAACATTTCATTCCTGATATATGAGGATTCTAGTAAGTTGATGTTTTGTTAGCCTGAAAACCTTGCAACCCCTGTGCCATGAATTTCAAGGCAGCTTAGCCTGCTGTAGTTTCCATCAGACCCAGGAAACAGTGGACACAGAAATTTGAAAGTACATCTGACTGTCCCAGAAAGGGGCCAAACCAGTGGTTTTACAGTCTCTGAATACCTCTGTATTTTAAATCATACTGAAAGCCTGAGCATTACAATCTTCTCATTTCAGTTATGTTCTGTCCCTTATCTTAGTCAGTGTAGTTTATCTGATCAAGCCCTCAGGAATGAGCTGTGCGTATTAAAAATACAAGTCTTCATTTATTTGAGTCAGTTTTGTTTGTTCAGTGCTGGTACTTTAGGGCATCTGTACACTGTGTGTATGAAGTTGCCATTTGTGTATCTAGCTTTTAAATGAGTAGTTGCAAGCTAGTTCTTTTAAGAAAACTGTTTTAATTGTGCAAACAACTGTTTGTGAGAATTTAGAAACATCTCTTGAATCCAAGTACCTGGAAAAGTACTGAAGATTTTATGACTAGTGATTCTCTGAGTTTTACCAGATGATAAAAGTTTCAGCTGCAGAAAAAAAAGAGGAGGTCTTAATTCCCTGAAGTCAGATCTGAGCAGCAGTAACCTTGCCCTACAATTTTGGATTTTGTATCTCTGTACAAATCTGCAGGAATTTTCAGTTACTGATCATGTCTGTCCTCAGGCCACCTTTATTTTTCCCATTAGAAATGTGTCTGCAGCAGCAGCAAATGGACCAAATCAAGAAGTGAAGGGTGACCTGGAGTATCTGCACAGCTACACAACCCTAATGACCTGTGACTCCTGCAGCAGGGGAGCAGGGGGCCAGAGACTGACAGACAGCTCATGTTTCAGGAGAGGAGTAATGGTTTGTGTCTGTGCCATCTTTCAGAACACCTGCAGAATGCTGGCACTGGGAAATAATGAGCCTGGTTAATATGGGGTCTTAAATTATAAGTTTTCCAGTGATGAATTTTTATTGCTGGCATAAAATTAAAATCCTTTTCTTACTGGATATGGATGTCTGGGTCATGTCAAGGACATGGAGAGTTTTGTGGTGTAAAAATGACAGCATCACAAAAGTGATTTGCTAAGAAAACAGATAATGAGAGAGAATCCTGTAAAAACTCGAAAGAGCCCCTAGAGCAAAAGCAGGATTGAGCATTAGCAGTAGATTTGGCTGTACTGTCAAAAAAAGTGATCTTGGCTACTGGAGAAAAAAAGGTTTTGACATAATGGAATGGGAAAATAAATATCAATGGTAATGACTTTTCATCAATCCCATTATTCCTTTAAAGTACATTGTAAAAGTTCCAATGGGTGGCTTCAGTGTGAACATCCTCAGAACACTCCATTTCCACTGAAATGGAAAATTAACAAAATTAGCCCTTTGAATACTTTACATTTTTGAGAAACTCTCAACATTTATGAGCTGCAGCAGTCAACCAGAATTACTCAGGTCTTTGTGCTGGCATTTGGTACCGGGGACTGGAGCTGCAACATCCCCACCTTTGTTACTGGAGTTGGGTCAGGGGTGGCCATCAGGAGTGCACCCCAGAGCTGCATCTCTGAGAGACAAAGGACAGCTGCTCGGAGAGATCCCTGAGAAGGAGCAATCACAAAACATTGCAGATGTCAAACCATGCCACAAACTGTTCCAGATACATAAACGCAGCACCACGGTGTTTATCGTGCCTGGGCTATTCTGAAAATAGTTTTAATGATGTGGAGATTGTTGAGAAACTGCACGGAGCTGTCTTCTTCTCCAGGTAGCTTTCACACAAGATGAGCGTGAGGATCTGTTCTTGGTCACCAAGTAGAGGGTTTGGAACATGTGGAAATAAAAGCTAAAGGGGCTTTAATTTTTTACTAGAGCAAAGTAGAATCCAGGAGCAAAGATGCCTTTGGCATCTGCTAGGTGCTGCAGATTTGCCCCTATAATTCCAGAAACCTCTGTGGTGTAGCATTTCCATCAGGCTTTGCTGGCTGTGTGTGCTTTCTACAACAGCTGTGATGCTGAAACCACCCTCATGTCACCTGGGGCTCGTAAAGTCCCTTTCTCATTTCCTGGAAGATCAGAGAAGGTATCTACTGCATAATGTGAAGGAACAGCTATCATTTTGATGTGATCTCAGAAATGCCAGCTGGATTTATCAGCATTAGAAACAGGAGAAATCTAAAGAAAAAAGTCAGCTAATACTAAAGGAAGGAACCTGCCGTGATTCCCATGTGAATTCTCTTGTGACCTTTATAATTCTTTCTGACATTCACCCCTGCCTGCACAGGGGCCTTTGCCAGGGGAGGCCATCACCTCCTCTCCCTTTTGCCTGTCATTTTTTGTCATGCTTGTAATGCCTCTCTGACCCCTCTGCTTTCCTTTGGCAATTTTCAGTCAACCTTCCGTGTGCCTAGGGGTTCCAATGTAGATGTTTGGATGTAGAATGAGTGGCATTTTGTAAAAAGGCACTTTTACCCCCTATAAAATCAAAATTACAGAATGCCCACAACAAAACCCCAAGCCCTCCAGATATTCTCTCAAGCCTAAGCAGGGGTGTTACTGGAAACATTTTAAAAACTAAAGCTGAACATAATTTCAGAACGGGTCAGTATTGTTTCCAACCTCAGGGCAGCTGCAGTCAGAGCTGTGGAGTGCAAACAGCAGGAGCAAATGCTTTCAGGTTTCATTGTCTTTGGTGAGAGCAGTGGCAGAGAGGAGCAGCACTTAATGAGTCAGAAAGCAAATGGAGTTCCAAGGTGCTATTACTTGCATGTGAGTTAGAAGTGAGGACTAGAAGTTGACAGGCTTGGCTTAAAAGCAAAATTCAGTCCAGGAAAACTTGAGCCCTGGCCCAGGGGTACAATTCTCTTGCTGTTTACAGATGGGCTGGGCTTTTTTCCTGTTGCTGCCTACCACAGCCATTCTCCAGCCATTACACAGTGAGTGAGTGGCTTTCTTTGCTGCTGTCATTTTACTTAGATTGTCCTCCCCTGTAATGAACTTTTCCAATATGAGGGGGAGAAGGACGTAACAATACTCTATAATGAAAATGTAACACTTTTATAGCTTTTTGGGAGACATCCACATCCCCAATTACCAAGCATTATACATTTGCCATGCGTACAGCATCGAAGTCGTTGCCTTTGAGTTGTCACCATGGAGAGTAAAAGCAGGAAAGGCTCCCACCAATCTGCCTTTTTATTATCCTGCAGGCAAATAATTTGCCCAATTTTTGCTAAGATATGAGCAGTTTACATGAGTAGTTTTCAACCCATTTTTTTGATTACTGGGCAATAAACCAAATATTTTCCAGCAGAGCAGCAGACCCTCCATAAATCTCATACCATTCACAGGATAACATAAAAAAAACATTCTGCCCAGCATTTTCATATTAAAAAAATCCATGCAGGTACCCTATGGAGCCACACTTCTTCAGAGAAAGGATAAACTCTCCCCCATCTTGCAGATGTAAAACTTTTGTTTTTAAATACAGAAAACCTTTATCTTGTTTTTTCAGATTTTTTTTTTTTTTTGGCCTCTTTGTCCTTAGGTCTGCAGTACTCTGAACTGATTATTTTTGTGTCATAATCAATTTCATTCAGGTTCTGTCTCAGTGTTGTAAATAATGGATTAAGGCTCACATTGTTTGTAGATGTAACCTAAACAGCATTTACACGTTTAGATCATGTCTGATAGGTGTTATCAGCAGTCAGGTGCAGGAGAAACAGCTCCCAGCTCTGCCCTGTATTTCCCTGTGCAAGGCACAGCATCCCGTGGCACTGAAAATTGTCACTCCTTTATTTTACCACCTGTAAAAGTGCTCAGTGTTTCTTTGGGCTTCTTTATCACTCCTCTGACTGTCCCCAAATGCTCCCCCTCTGCAGAAGTCTCCAAGCCAGCATGGAGCTGGAAAAGTGTCCATCCATACCTTAAAGACTAATGAGAGGTCACCCAGCTCAGAGCTCTGCAGGAAGTCACTTCTGGGTGGGAAAGTGTCTGTGCCAGCCAAGGAGAGGTGCCCTGCAGCTCCCACTGTAATTCCTGGCTACAACTTGCACACTTATCTGTGAGCACCTGGCTGTAGGTACAGGTTTGTGATTCAGGGCCATTTCTGAATTAGAGAAAGGAGTCTGAAAAGATTGCCTCAAATGGCACAGGACCACTTATTACAGCAGGTGTAGTGTTTTCATTTAGTCCTCGCTGTGTGACAGAAATCCTTTCTGCTTACATGTCATGTTGGCTTCCATCAGCCTCTCCAGAGCAGGTGGGAGTGATTTTCTTGTCCCAGTTATCAGATCTTCTCTTTGAGCAACAAATCACTCAGTGCACTTCTCTGTGAATAGGTACTCCAGGGTAGTGAGAGGCAGAGCTCCAACTGGTTGCATTTTACACTCAAGAGCCTGCTAAATCATTAATTAATTTAGTCTCTGAAAGTTCTCTGCTTCCTGGCAAACCAGAATGTGTGTTTCTACAGGCCTCAGGCCTGCTCACCTTGGAATTACAAGTGTTGGCAAGGAGTTTCAACACCCAGTAGGGTGGAGATCAGGTAAAGCAGTAGAACAAAAAGTTAGAAGCTTTACCTTGTAAAGCTGTAAAGTGTGTAAGAGATGTGCAAAGTGTGTAAAAAGTGTAAAGATACACTGCCCACTGCTGTGTCCTTCCTAAGGACCAGTCTGTCTATTACTCATTACTTAATTTATGTGCAATGACAAAAAAGACACCCATGGTCTTTGCAAAGGGGCCATGACTGGAGGATGTAGGGGGAAATACAGGTTAAAGCAAGTCAGCCAAGTGAGAATGCCCAGAGGCCTCTGGCCCCTGGGACTGTGCCTTTTGGGAAGGACACAACCCAGCAGGATCTACTGCTCATGGCTCTGGGCTGCCCTCAGGAAACAGCCCTGCTGCTGACAGCATCCCTGCCAAGGGGGTTTGCAACCCCTCTTTCATCTTCACATCACTGATTCTGCAGGGAGGGTGAGATCACTAAAACGAACGCTGTCTTAGCTATGTAAACTCCTCCTGGATTTCTCTTCAGGTTTTTGGCAATCTTAGACTTTGAAGAGTAGGCTTATGCAGCTAAAGTTTGAGCAATGCCTGTCTAAAATGCAGGTCCTACAGATCTTCATGCGTGAACTCTGCCACAATTACTGAGTGCATAGAAAAAGCATTCCTGCTACCTGGAATGCTTTTCTTTATAACTTGGAGTCCCAGCTCCTTGAGCTGAGCTTTCAGCACAGTCAAGTGCTCAGGATTTCTGAGAGAGTAAAACGACCCAAATTGGTAAAACCACAGTGCACACAACACCCCAGTGCAGCCAATTTACAGAGACAGCAATGTGCAACCCCGGCAGCCAGAACCAACTGATGGAACTTGGAACTGCATCTTTGTGGAGCTGAACTGCCAAGGCTTGGAGAGCACTTGGTCCCATGCACTGAAAGGTCTTCACCCCATGGACAGAGTGGCAGAACTTGTGTGGGTAGCAGCCTGTGAGCCTAAGGTATGTTTTAATTAGTACTGGGGGAGGGAAATGATGAAATGGGTTTGGGTTTTTTTCCTTTTTTTCTTCCTCTTTAAATAGAAATATATATTTATATATATAAATTTTTTTGTCTTCACTCCTCAGAAGAGAGATCCACTTTCTATTCAGGCCAGTATGGTGTCTGAATGAAAAATTTCTCTCCCCAGTTTCAGTAAAATGCAACCTAGGAATAGCTGTAAAAGGAAAGTTACTGTAGCAGAGCTCTGTAATCAAGAGGTCTCCATGGACAGCCTGTCATCCTGATGAGAGACACTTCTTAATTAACAGAAGATGCTGCATTGTAGATGAAACAATTCCTAAGTGTCCCAACTTCCCTCATCATATCAATGAGCCTGGAGTTTCAGAGCTCCCAACAACAAGGGGCTTTAGAGGATTTCAAGAGAATTTTAAGTCTAAAAGTTCAACACTCAAGCATGTGCAGCATGCAGAGAACACATTTCAAAATGTGTTTGAAGAGCAGAAGCCTAGTTTTGTACTA